AATCAGAGTGGCCCCTGCAGGCACTAGAACTTCTCCCCTGACCTGGGCACTGCCTGCTCCCACCCCTACCCAGTGCTTTTGACCCCTCCTCTTCTCTCTTTTTTTTAAACCTTTTATTTTTAAATAATTTTAGATATACAGGAGAGTTGCAGAGACAGTACCATGTCTGTATACTGTTCACATAACCATGGTTCTTCTGCCCCCTTTATGCCCTGCTTGCCAGTAGAGGCCAGTTGCCAACAGGCCCTGGGTGTGGAACACCTGTGTTGGAATCATCTCTGCCCTAGCTCCTGCTGGGTAACTAGTACTCCAGCAAAGCTTTAAGTACCCAGGGAGGGTGTCATGGCCCAGGACTCACGCTGCATACTGGCTGGCCAGCCAAGGCAGTGTAAGAGCTCTTAGGCAGATTCACCCATTGGGTGGCAGGGATGGGGACGGGTGGCAGAGTAGAAGGTGAGGAGCAGTGAGGACCCCGGGGAGGAGGGGTGTCCTGGGGCAGATGAGGCCATGCAGCTCGGTGCAGCAGGCACTCTGGAGGTGCAGTAGCTCGGACCCTACAGGTAGGTAGGGCATCTAGGAAGATACAGTTGTAAAATATGCCACTTCTGGGTCCCACAGCTGGTGCTATGAGGAACTGTGAGGCCTGCCTTAGAGCTTTCTCCAGGGCCAGTCAGCCCTGATTTGGGTGACTAAAAAGCAAGGAAAACACAAGTCACTCCTGCCTCCAGACCTACTCACCCACCACACGCACTCTTCCACCCCTCATCTTCTCAGCAGTTTAGGGGCAGAGGTTCTGTCCTCAGCTAACGGGAAGGAACAAGTCATAAGGGCTTTAGAAGAGCTGGTGCTCCAGGAAATAACTCGGGTTTCTAAGGTATGTACAGCACTAACCACCCCATCAAGGTTGACACCGCCCTCTGGTTTCAAGTCCTCTGTCCTGTAGGCAGACTGATTATTTCTCACCTCTGTAAGCATTGTCTGGGAGTAATGAGCTTGAAGTCCCTGTTGCCCCAGGTTTGGAGTATGTCATGTGAAATGAGCCCTGGCTAAATGAACTTGACTAAACGAAAGGAGAAAGGTGATAGAGGAAGTAAGACTGGGACATTTTTGTTTCCCTGACTAAGCTGCCCAAGGTTCAGAGGTTCTGACAGGAGGGAAGGGCTGAGAAGGGGAAGCAGTGAGGAGACGGTATCCCAACACCTGTACCACAGGGTCGTGAAGCCTGAGTGGTACTGCGTATGGAAGGCCCACAGCTCAGATCCTGGCACGTGTGTGAACACCTCAATAAACGGTAGCTTCAGAGAGACTGCAGGACCTGTCACACTGCAGCCCAAACTCAGCCTGGGCCTCAGGCCTCAGGCCTCGATAAGTAGACTGTTTCTAGAGCTGGCAGGGGCAGCAGAGCCAGTCCTCTGGCAGCTAGAATAAAGGAAGGGATTATTCCAGGGGGTCTGCAGCCAATTGTGTTATTGGTTTCCCTGTCCAAAGCTGCCCATGCAGGATCAGGGGAGGCTGGGGCCTTGGGCAAGTCATCTGGGCAGATGGCACATGACACGCTGCCTGGGGCTTTCCTGCTGCAGTGACCCCAGGGTCTGGCGTGCCCAGGCCTTCAGTGGGTGGGGTGGGTTCTGGCTGGTGTGAGAAAAGACTGTCCTGGAGCCCATTCACTCCTGTGTTCCTCTTGGTCCCTTTTCTACCCCAGTAGGGCCTGGGCAAGACTGGCTTGCCAGAGGCTTGGGTTCAGATCCTACCCCTGCCTCTGGCTGGTCATGTGTGCTTGAACAAGAGACTTAAACCTCTCTAAGCTTCAAGTTCCTTACCTGTGAAATGGGAATGATGGTAGTATCTGTCTCAAAGTTATTGTTAAGACTAAATCAGGTAATATACCTCATCAGGCCTCAGAATAAATGGGCTGTCTTCTTTTTAACTAGGCATCCCTCATGGAGGGTCTTATCTCCCAGACCCAGAACAACTTTGCCTGTGTTACTGACTGGGGCCAAGGGAAAGCAGGCTCAGATTAAACCTGTGCTACGAGAGAAGAGCAAGGGATGTCTCTGTGGAAGGTGGCTGATACAATGGGAGAACTTGGAAAAACTCACTACTAACCCAGCGTATTCTAGCTACTATACCAGGGTCCAGAGAGAGGAGTTGCCAAGAAAGGAGGTATAAAAATAGATACACAAAAATAGAACTGAAAGAAGATTACCAAAGGACTGATTTAATGTATAAAATTCATGTATTCATGAACTTTCAAAGTTTAAATCCTTACTGCTTATAATTGAGTTTGATGATGGTGGTTGTTTTGATATCTTCTTAAAAATGGCCACAAATCCTCTAAAGCCGAGGTTGACCATCAACTATTTTAAGTTTGTCCTTACGGGAAGAGGGGCTGTCGGCCACAAGTGAGCTGACGAGTAAAGGGTGGCTGGGGTCTTCCTGACCTGTGGATGTGTTTAGCACTCAAATCTCTTCATAGAGCACTTAGCCCTGAGAGGGCTCAGATTTCCAACTCCATTCTGAGAAAAAGCAAGAGTGCCAAGCTCCAGCCATCCCCCACACTTGACCAGGTTTTCATCCCTGCCTTCTATTGCTTTGTGTGAAAGTTTAGTGGTTGGGGCACATTCTGATACTGTGCATTGCCCAGGTATGGAAAACCAAGATTCTTGGTTATTCTTTGGGGGCCTAAAGCCGCTTTTGAGGAGATTTTAGTCACCGTCTTGCAATTGGGAGATGGCTTAGCTGTATCTGAAGAAACACCCCCGCAGTTCCCTTGTAGGGTATGGGACAGGGACATAGTGCTGCCTGGTTTATAGACCAAGTAGGGTTAACCAACTCGGGCCAGACAGCAATGGACATTTCTTACTCCTCTGAATGGCTTCCTTGGTGTGAGGCTGTTGTATAGATTCCCTAGTGCTTATCCCTGCAGGGATGAGTGTTCTGAGGAGCTGAGCCACCCTTCGACTCATCATTTGCCACGGCAGGAGTGGAAAGGCTGCACCGGTCAGCTCAGTGGCTTTTGGCTGCCGTAGCCCTCTCTTGGTCTGGGAGGTGCTGGCTCTATAGGACCCAGGATTTGTACCAGTTCATTCTTCTCACCCTCTCTTCCCTTCCCTCTCCAGTGTATGTGGTAGAAGACCAAAGAAGGGATGACCTGGGCTCATCCACCTGCCTCACAGCCTGCTGGACTGCTCTCTGTTGCTGCTGTCTCTGGGACATGCTCACCTGACCAGCCCAGCCCTCCTGTCCTGCCAGCTCTGCTGCCACCTCCGACAGGTGTGCCTGCTGCCATCTCTTCTGATTGCTGAAATGACTAGCTCTGCACAGACACTTCTACCTTCAACACAGGGGGATTCTAGATTACCAGGGGTTGCTACTGTTTAATTCAGTGACTTGATCTTTTTACTGTTCAAAATCCATTTCTTATTGGCCTTTCACAAATGTGCTAAATGAATTTCCTTTTATTTTTCTGGCCAAAGGCTTAGTTATGAAATATATATTTATAATTTTAAAATTATACATTCAAGGTAGTGGCATGATGTAACATACCACTGAATGATTTCTCTGCTAATACTCTGTATGGTTCAATAAATTTGTCTAAACCTCAACTGTCTGAATTATTCCAGGTAGATTCTAAGCCCTGGATATCTCAGCTAGTGGCCACCGTCCAGTACAATGAGGGGCCTGTTTACCTTTTCATTCTGGCTGCTACACAAGCAGTATGGGTGCTATTAGGAAGGCAGGTTCCAAGGTGGGATGTCTTTCAGCCAGGCCATGAGGCCCTCGCTGAGTTAGCATTCTCTCCCTCATCCCACTCAGATGTAGGCTCATCAAGGAGCTATACCCGCTTTTACCCCGAGCCTAGGAAAGGGTCTCTTGGTAATTGGGCTGCCCTAGGGCCTGCTCTGAAAGGAGAGCAGGAGCCCACAGAGACCCCAGGCTTTCTTTTCCTGTTGTCCCCTCCCAACATGCACCTCCTCCTCTGACAGCCACATACAAGAGAAGAGCTGTCATACAAACTAGTCAGCCAGGCCACCAATCTCAGCTTTGGCCGCAGGGTGGCGCTGAGCTGCCATAGCAGCGAGCCAGATTTTCCTTGAGCTGGCTTGCCCTGCCAGCCTTGAAAGGCTGCACTTGTCAGCTCCCTGCTTACCTCTGCCTGCCCACCTTCCCTCTGAAGCAGTGAGGTACTGATATTTAACTACCAGCTCTCTCTAAAAATAAACAAAAAAGCCATGATTTTGTAGCATCACTTGATTTCTGTGGAGTCAATGGTCCCACCATAGCTGATTTCAAGCTACCAATGTGATCTCTAGAACGTGGAGTTGGGAAGAGAAGCACAAGAATGCACCGTTATATAGTGTTGCCACCATCCAGATATGACAGACTGTTAACCTCAAAAACACAGGTAGATAATGGCCAGATTTAGTAAAGTATTTAGGAAGGTATAAGTTTTGAATATTTATTAGCCTCACTTTTAACGTAATTGTAAATTTACATAATTTTTAATAATGGCTGTGTAACAACTGGCTTGCAACAAAATTCCTGAAAATTGGATAATTGGCTTTCCTGAGCCAGTACAAGCCAGCTCCAGCACACCACTGCCCCTGAGCCACTAGGAGGCCTCAGGATTGTAGTGTCCACTTTATGACACTGGCCAAAGGGAGAGAGTCTTGGAGGTGCTGCTAGTTTATTACTGAATTTTCTTCTAGAATGTTGGGGAGGAAGTGGGAAAGGAATGTTTAAGCAGACTGCCACTGAGGAACCACTGCTCTGTTCACTTAAATGCAGCTATGCCCTGGTCTTCTTTCTTCTTATCTGCATACTACATGGAGGCTCAGAAGTTGAGGGGTTCACTCAGAAGAACAGAAAGGGAGAAAAAGGGAAGGCTTCAATGCAGAAGGAGCAGGGCCACAGCCCTGGAGAGGCACAGGGAGGAGCTGAGGTAGAGACAGCCTCTGCCTCTCTGTTCTCATCCATTAGCTCAAGAAAAGCAGACTTAGCAGAGTGGGATAGGTGCCTTTTATTGGTCTGACCAGCATTTGACTAGTAGTAGGCTCGGGCAGAGCCCCCCTCTCTGTCCTGGCTCCCATCTTCCCTCTCCTGGGAGTTCAAGACCCACCCTCAGGGGAGAGAGTGTCCTGGGCAGAGGTGGCAGGCAGAGCCAGGATAAAAAGTACAAGGTTGGGATCTTCAAGGGGCTAAGGGTGATGTACAAAACATAGGGTTACCAGACCATCCAGATAAATTGTCCATCTGGGCAGAGTAGAGGCTGTTTCCCCACACAGGCCCCTCTACTCTTGCCAGGAATGGGAGGGGTCAGGAGGAAGAGCTTCCCCTAAGGCTTCCTACTGGGCCCTTCGTGCCATCAGCATCTCCCGGATGTTGTCCTCAGCTTCCTTCACACTCCGCTCCAGGTAGGATTTTTTCTGCTACAGTGTGAGAAAGAAACAAGGGTTAGGGTGAACGGGCCAGGTTAGCAGATACAGCTTTTATGTCCAATGGTTATGACTTCTGCTGTGTGACCAGTGACTTCTAAGAGTGTACTGTCTACTAGGAGCCAGGTACACACACCTGCCCAGAGTGCTCCCCTCCCCCACCCACACGCACAGGGAAGGAGGTCACTTGGTACAGGAAGCAGAAGTGCTCTGTGGAAGGCAGTAGTGCACTCTTCCCCCAGAAGGAAGTAGACTCTAAAAACAGGCATCTCAGTACATGAAGTTATACCAGACAGACAAAGGCCAGGAAATTCCAGGACAAAGCTCCGGCCTCATAACAAACTGTCTCTCAAGGTTTTCCATGGCCCCGGCCAGGCGCCTGTAGCCGCCACTGCTGCAGAATGGACAGTGTATCCTCTGCTCCGTCCAGCGAGACGACAGGCTGCGCGAGTCCTGAGAGGTTCTATCACACATCTCACCAAGGCAGATGAGTCAGGATGAAATCTGCTTTTCTAATGAAACTGTTGCCTGCCAGGAATCCAGGACAGTGACACACTGAATAAAACAGACCTTTTGGAAGTTTACCTCCTGCTCCATCTGGGTCCTAAATTAAAAATCTCAACTTAGACAAAGAAATTTAACTACTCTCAGGAGCCACATCTGGACCAGGATTACAAAAGATTAGTCAAAGGAAATGATGTCTGTATATTATTTGCCCTGTGGTCACCCCAGAAGTATGGTGGCTTCACCACTGGTCCCTGCCCTGAGGACATAGTTGTGGCTGCATTCCCACCTACCAGACATAAAATGAAGGCTCCCTTTTTGAGGAATACTCAAAATAATCCCCTCCAAGAGTACATGTGACTGAGCCACACACTGGAGCCAGTAATGCAGAGCCCTGGCCCAGGCAGCCCAGATGCAGCCAAAGCCCTTCTCTCACCCCTAGCCCCTTACCCAAAGCAGCTTTGAATTCATTTTGACCACTGAAGTGCCCAGATGACCTAGGGAGGCCAGGGAAAGGCTGGGGCAGAGGACAGGTGAGCAGCCTGGTCTGACAGGCCTTGCTTGGGAACTGATCCCTAACCATTGAGACAGTAAAATCGAAATGAATGCCTCTATTGTTCGAGGTCTTCACTATTAAACCTCTCTGGTACCCCCTCTACGTATCCCTGCCTCTAACTTCTCCCACTCTCTGTCCAGATATTTATTAAATGATACATTTAGAGACTTTTTCCTATAGGTACCAAATGCTATGGCATCCACAAATCTTTATCAGTTCTTGTGTGAACCTCTGATTCCTGTTTGTCTTCTAACTTCAAATTTCCTGAATGCTAGAAAGAGCCATATCTCTTTACTCATCTCCCATCTGTCCAACTTGCATACAATTCCTTATAAAACAGCAGGAGCTCCATAGAAACTCATAGTGATCATGATAATTCAATGGCCACAAATGCATATTGTTGCTAAGGAATTCTGTTTAATTATATTGCTAAACCTGATATAGTCCTATCATTGTGATATCAGAGTGGGAACTCAGAATCCCTTTGATAAACAACCCTTAGACTTGACTTGTGATGAGGTAAAAAGAGGGAAATACTAATAACTCCTGACACACCACTGAAGAATGTAGATGTACTGGGTGTTGCACAGAAGGGGAGCAGCAGCTAGACAGCAAGTGCCATGTACCATCTGGGCACCTTCCCAGCCCCATGGGAATCTAGGAAAGGCTAGAGGAGTGAGCAGGGTTCTACTCCTGCAGCAGTCAACCAGTGCTCAGGGACCCAGGTCTACTGCATTCCATCTCTGTCAACTTGCTACCCTAGCTGGCAAAACTATAAACTGGGAACATCAGCAAGAGCTTTTCTACCTACTACCCAGGCCTCTGGACAATCAAATTCAGGTTGCAATTCTTATCTTTGAAATTCTTCATTCTATAGTGTCTCTTACTTCTATCTTCTAGTTTCATGATTTTTTCATAATTTTTACCACTGAATATCTTGAAGTCTTCAAGTTTCAAAAAATAATGCAAAATGAACTTGTCTATCTTTAAATCTTTAATTAACTTAAATAAACTTAACATTAAAAAAATTTTTTTCCTCCCAACAGATGGGGCATCCCTAGCATAGAGGGACCTGTTTCCTAACTGTATTTCAGCAGTTCCTGTTTCATCCTCAAACACATCTAAGCCCAGCAGACCTTCATAATCAAACCCAGACCAAAGCATCTGTTGTGGGTTGAATTGTGTCTCACAGAAAGATATGTTGAAGCCCTAACCCCCAGTACCTGTGAATGTGACCTTATTTGGAAACAGGGTCATTGTCAATGTAACCAAGTTAAACTGAGGTCATACTGGATTAGGGTGGGCCCTAAATCCAATGATTAGTGTCCCTATAAGAAGTCCACATGAAGACAAAGGGACACACAGACACACAGGGAAAATGCCATGTGTGAATGAAGGCAGAGTGGAGGGGTGCATCTATAAGCCAAGGAAGGCCAAGGATGGTTGGCAATCCCCAGAAGTTAGGAAGAGGAAAGACAGGATTCCTCCCTGGACCCTTCAGAGGGAGCAGGGCCTTGCAAAACCTTGATTTTGGATTTCCAGCCTCCAGAACTGTGAGAGAATAAATATCTGTTGTTTTAAACCACCCAGTTTGTGGTAGTTTGTTATGCAGTCCTAGGAAACCAATGTAGCACCTGAATGAGGGATGTCCCCAGAGAGAGAAACTATCCCAAAGTTCTTCTGGACCCACAGCTTCTGACCACACTGGATCATAGAGGCCTGGGTAAGGATCCCTACAAGTTAGTACACTGGGATCGTACTTCTCCCCCCAAAAATTGTGGTAGAATTGACCCAAATACAAATAAGACTGTCAGAGAGGATGGAGAAAATTAAGGAACCAATGATTAAATCACCTTTTCTTCCTTGGATCTCCACAGTTTATTCTTAGATCTCCTAGTCAAACCAGAAATTCTGTGGATCCCAGTCTTCCCCATTTCTGTAAATGGCAACTCCACTCTTGTGATTGCTCAAGACAAAATCTTTGGTGTCATCTTTCAATCTTCTTCCTTTCTTTCACATCTGACATCCAATCAACCAACAAATCCTGTTAGCACTATCGCAAAATGTATCCAGAATCTGTCCTTAATGAATAGCCTCCTACGTGGTCTCCTTTCTTCTGCCCTTGACCTCCTTCAGTTTCTTCTCCACACAGTGGCCAGAGTCACCTTTTAACACTTAAAACTCTCCCATGGCTTCCCATTTCACTCAAAGTAAAAGGCAAAGCCTTTTCAAAAAGCCACGTATACTCTTGCTTTCAGCTGACTCTCTGACCTCCCCTCCCACAACTCCCTCTCACTCATTCAGCTCCAGCCACAATGGCCTCTGAGCTGTTCCTCCAATCAGCAAGCTATGCTCCTGCCTGGCCTTTGCCCTTTGGCTCTCTCTGTGAAGGAACTCTTCCCCAGATATCCACATTACTTGCTTCCTCACTTCCTTTGGGCCTTTCTCAAATGTGACCTTGTAGGAAAAGCCTTCTTGATTACATGCAGCTCCACACTCCCTATTCTCCCCACCCTGATTTTCCTCCATAGCACCTATCACCACTGGAAGCAATATTTTCTGTCTGTTTTCCCTTACAAGAAGGTCCATGAGGGCAGGACCTGGTTCTGTTCACTGATACAGTCCTAGTGTCTAAAAGAATGGCTGGTACATAATAGGAACTCAATACCTATTGAAGAAAAGTGGATTTATTATGGAAAATGATGCCTTACTGATTTACTTGTACACACACTGCTCCTTTTTAGTTCTCCCTCCCAACTTGAATGAATGAGGAACACCCACCAGAGGAAGCAAAGGCAGAAACTGACATTCTCTTCCAAGGTGGTTTTCAGTTTTTGCCATTGCCCTCTAACCTCTGCCCCTGGATAGACATAGGTTTAAAACTCGAACCTTACTGATCCCAGTGGAGACATCAAAGCCTTGCTCCCACAAACGAAACAGGCCCTAAGAGTCAAGCCCTTACACTTTATCAGGTCAACTTGTAAAACTATAAGACAAACCATCCCAATTTCCCACATCCTGGAGTAGGAAATCCTTGAGAAACTGCTCCATCCAAAGTCAGCCTCGGGCCTACTGTGAGCTACAAGGGGATGATGATTGCTGTGTAAACTCCAGGAGGCATTTTAAACCCACACCTTCCACTAGGAGTCCCAGGAAGGCATTTGCCGGCCTCACTGCAGCATTTTCCTGTCTTGCTGAGCAATCTCCCTCAGAACCCTTTCTCCAGGAAATTCTCTAGTAGCATCAAATCACAGAGCTCTGCGTGCAGTGTCATTCTTGTGGGGCCTTGTCCTGACGTGAAATTCTGAGGTTTCCTGTGGGGCTCAGCATGGCCAGGGAAATTGACGTTGTTGGTGTTATTGCTCATCAGCCTGACGTTCATCTTTCTGGGAGTCAGACTGAGGGGCTGGTGTTTCATTCTCATCCTCTAACGAAGAAAGAGGCTCATGTCCCTAGAACTTTTCTGACATGACACAATCTCTCAAATAGACTCCTGAGGTAACTCATCTTGTGACGCTATCTCTATCAACTTTTCTCTTTTTTTAGGAACTTTGTCTCCCTCTCCTTCTCTAAATTAATATTTTTCCTGTTTGTCATTTCTTGGGGTATAGAAAAAAGTTTTCCCGTCTCATCCTCGACTTCCTAATTTGTGAAATGAGGATTTGGACAACACCAGTGCCCCTACTCCCTCATTTTTCTTTAGTCACAGAACACTTTCTTCAAATGAACTATTGTCTAAAGACAAAACAAGTAAAACGGAGCTTGGGGGAGCAGGGAGAAAGGGCAGATAAAAGCAGACCCTCTGGCTTGTCCCCTGCCTCCAATCCAGGCTACAGGGGCAGTAGACACAGCAGTCTTGATTTCCTTCTGCCTCGATGTTCTGTCACATCTGCATCCTCAGAGACCCTCTGCTCTGAGTCCATATTTCTGACCC